CCAAGTCTTGAACTGTTAGTATCACAGAGCAAGATTTAAAGACACATAAACAACTTAGTGCAGCTTGGTCCCTTCTTCTTCTGTTTCGTGATTTTGTCCTCAGGGCTTGCAAGAACGTTTCTCTGATTTGACCTTGAATCTCAGTATTAATGAACACGCATGTGCAGGTCTGTGCATACATATATGCACACTCACACATCTTGGTGTTAGAAGCCCTTGCTGATAGTTTCCAACACTTTCCAAATTTACTGTCCATCACAACAATAAATAGTCTGTTACTCATTAGAGGGTTGGCTTTATTTGACCTTCTCATACTCCTGATGATGGAGAAAGACGCTTTCAGGTTACCAGGTTTTTTTCCTTGCTGTTTGACCCCTGGGCAGAGGCAAAAAGTTCAAGGAGGACGGGGCTAGAGGGCTCCTGACCTGCACCTGCAGTTCCCGTGACCTCCTGAGTCGCCTTTTTAATGGACTTAGTGGAGTAAACTCTCCTCTCCGTGGCAGGCCTTCACCTACACGGCACAGTACTCACAGTATCTGCGCTGAATCATCCCCTGGAAACTGTCACAGTCGCATTTGTGGTCCTGTGACGGTGGCTACACACTACATTGCCTCCTGGTATTTCTGCTTTCTCTGAATAGGCTTTCAGTTACAAAGTCCAGCTTATACTGGACTTCAGTTTTTAAAATCACTCAAACTGAACACAAGAAGGTGTTTAAACTTGAGTATAAACACTTTCCTCACGTCATGCCGTAACTCAGAGATGAATCCTTTGTTGTTATAGGATACAGTTGAAGTATGTTTTCTAACATGTCAGAGAATCGATTAAAAAGCCAGAGAATATTTGAACCTTAACCTGTTTCCACCTGGCAGTTTTCCTTTTCAGCGTTATTGGTCAGCTCAGCGCATTCTTTTGACCCGTGAAATACAGAGTTCATCTCCATGAGGCTGTTTTCATGATAAATGTAACATGTTTTTTCTAGGTCTGCCTCAGGGTAGATCCGGGCGTCTGACAGGAATTCCGTTAGGGTAACTACAGGTCGTAGGCTATTCCAGTGTAAAGTCACAGGAATGATTGGGGATTCGTAGCCTGAAACCCTTACACAGGCAAAAGGTGTC